ATGTAATTCATTATTGTTTTGTGAAAAATATTGAATAACCTAAAAACTAGGGGGTTTAGGCACAGGACACTCCTTATAAAACTTAAATATCACACAAAACCCTATCACGTACAATAAAATTGCTCACAACCTTTGAATTTTAGATTCAGTCACAAAACGAAAGGTACCCACATTTACTTTAAAACGCTGTGAAAACGAAACTTCGGACAGAAAAACTCGTAAAACATAAATTGTAGACAATTTAATTTCCTACAAAAAAGTCCGCGACAGCATATATGTATCTTTAACCATTAATATATGATAAGCATTCAAAGATATTATTGAAACCAACGAGGACACTAGGTACAACTTTAAATGGTTGGTAAGGCTAAACGATTAAAGATAGATATATGCCGTCGCGGACTTTTTTATAGTAAATTTAATTGTCTACAATTTTTGTTCTATGAAATTTTCTGTGTCTAAATTGGTATTTGCAGCGTTTTCAATTATGTACGCGCGCCCATTATCAACATAAGAGTACGGTAACAAATCAATGAGTGTAAGTGGGAGAGTTCAGGCTATCTTTGTCTTACACATAAAACGCTCTGTAAGAAGGAAGAGCAGTGACTGCCTTCGGGAAGCGCGCATATAAATCCAAAGGTACTTTTCACGTTCATTTCGTGGCTCCATCTATCGCTCAAGGTACTTTCAGAGACCCACGCGAAAGTACAGGCTTAGACTTCTTCCTAATTTTATATTCAAAGGCCTAACTTCAAACAATCATTCACGCTACAGATCGACCCAGCTTTATGGTTCAGTGGTAGAGCCAGGGGCGGTTTTATACATCTACTCGGGGGGGGGGGGGGGGGGGGGGGGCGCGAAAATAAAAAAGCTACAGAATTGCAGATGCAGAGGTGCGCTGGAATTTTTTTAAGTAGCTTTGACCCAATTTCAGCTGTTTTTTTGTTAAACTATCTATTGCCGCATTAATTTTCGAATACCCAACATTCTGTACCACATTCAATTAACTTAACTTGATAAATATTATCTCAATTCTATTTAAGCATGAACTTTAAAAAAAAGCAACAAAAAGCATTTAAAGCGCCATTGTTCAAAAAAAGCAAAAAAGGCAAAATAAAAATAGGCTCAAACGCTTTTTTCATTTGCATTTTTCATGAAACGTATAGATCCAAAACTAAATTCAAAATTAACGTATAAGCAAAATGCCGCACCATATTCATTATTATGCGGTGGTAATCAGTGCTGAGTGCAGTCGTAAGTCGCAGTCTGGACAATACACGATTCCGCCCCCGCCGGCATTATTTTATTCAATTTTACTTTTCCGTCAGGTGGTTTGTAGTTAGGTGTATTTAATTCGATTATTATGTAAACCTAAGAAATAAAAAAACAATTGAACAGTATGTTTGGGGGGGGGGGATCGCCCCTGTCGCCCCCCCCCTAAAAACCGCGCCGGGGTAGAGCGTTGGACTATAAATCCGGAGGTCGGGTGTTCGAACCTGGGTTGAGGTGAATTTTTCACCTGTGGCAGAGATGGGAATTACCTTAGACCAGTTCAGAGCATTCTACCGGCTACTCCGAACTAGGTTTTCCTGCAGTTTTTCTAATTCGTAAGGTAAATACCGGAGTAATATAGAACAACTTAAGACCTACTGCAGAGGCACCTCTAAAAAGCATTATGCGGATCACTCTGTAATTGGGCGCAAGCTTGTTGAGGGCCCAGAACAAGAGAGCGATTATAAATAAATAAATAAAGGGTTTCACAGCAGTCATATGTCAAGAACCAACAGAAAAACATCGTTGGATATGCCATTGCGAAGCTGAACCTTGCACAAAGGCGGTACAACGAGCAGTCTCCAGTGTCTCTTGGACGCTGAAAACAGAAAAGAGTAAAGACAGGTAGACAAGGGTAAATTGACAGAGTAAATTGACTAGCCGGTCATTCAGACTACAGACGGTTTCATTTGACGTGGTACACTGCCCGGGAAAAAGAACGACCCCTGACCACCTTTCTCGCAACCCCTCCTGCACCGTCGTCGAAAAACATACGGCAGAAGATACAGACGTGATGGTAGCACCTATGTCCGCACCACCCGAAAAGACTGCGAGAGAGAGCGAGAGCAGTTCATCATCGCCGTTTCGGGACTAGCCGATCGCGCGAAGGAAAGCCAGAACGAAACCCACACGCCCAACAGCTGCTGAATGCGTGAGAGTAAATTCGTCGGGAAGGTCCTGCTACCCCTGCACAGGCACGTCTAAAACAACACCATCGTACGCAACAACCACCTTTATCGACGAAGTTCACTTCTGGTAGTGCCGCGGGAAATGTGCAAAGGACGTCGTGCAAACTAACCACCGCCGGACACCCATGCCCCGAGGAATACCTCTGGCGGCTGACCGGAGAAAGGCAACCAAATCCGACATTACGTGAGAGGATGTTGAGTGTGCACAGCAGCAAAACGCGGACCGATACCGTCCTCTCGAGCCGAGCAGACCTGGACGTCGATATTAAGAGCCCTGACCTTAAATCCACAATGGGGAACCTATTCATACTGGTAGAAGCGACGTTTCATCACCACCGATTCCGTGGTAAATCTACTGGAGCGAGACGTTTTAGGACGATACGGGTTATCTCGACCATCTCGACGGCACGCAGTTCCTCTATGTCATTGTAGCAATGAAACTCTAAACCTTCCCCATATAATTTTATTTAATACCTATAATTATATGGAGAAGGTTTAGAGTTTCATTGCTACAATTGCATTCAACCCCATTTTGACGATGGATACAGTTTAAAAAAATTCTCTTTGTCATTTGGGACGCCGCGCTAAGACACTGGGGGTGTTACCACTGGGAAACTCTCATATTCCACCCTCAGGTCAACTCAGTGGAGAGAAGGAACCAGGAAATCAAGAAAGGCCCAATTCATCTTCAGGAAAAGGATCCAAAAACGTGGGATGCCTTGCTACCGATCATCTCGTGCACGCTCCGAACACGAACGCTGCCAGAGGCGCAAGTCACTTGCCCAACTCCAGTGCCTTCTTGAAGTTTGGGGTTCCGTATTATAGGAATCTACAAAAGGAAATTTCGAGTATTCGTCGATAATATGTAGTTAACATTTATTTGTTTTAATTTGAAAAAAGAACAAAAATCTCTATCAAATGAGCCTAATGAAAGTGGAAAGTGGCTATTTAAAAAAATTCAATTGTTTTTCGTTATTTATTTGTTTTTTGAACAATGGAATGCTGCTTTATTATGGGAGATATGGGAAATTAAAAAATATCAAGTCTATGCAATGCTGTATGCAACACACGCAATGAACACGTGATTTAAGCGATCGGTTGGTGTTCTCCTCGATCACGAATCAGGTCGGATCGAACTCTGGTCGGAGGATGCTGATTCGCCCACATGTGAACTAACTTCGGCCTCGATGCAACGAAATAGGCAAGCCATCAGCAATGTCAACCCCATTCGATATTTTGGAAATTAACTTCTCCAAATCATCTTTTACGGATCACATGTTTCTTGTTCCCAATTATGACAAATATTCGACCATCCATTGTCTAGACATTCTCCTTATTATTGGCAGCCTGGATTTGACAAGCTTTTCAGTAATTGTAATTCCCGATCCTTTCAACACTTTCTTATTCTGGAACCATTTGTTCTCGTGTATTTCTGTAGGTCCTTTAGAAAGAGCTATCATTAGCCCTTATGGGTATTTTGAATTCTCTAAAAGTGGCTAACAGTTTCGTAGAGCTTCCAAGATCCTTTAGAGTCCTTAAAATTCTCTCCTTTGACAGGCATTTAACCTATAAGAGTTTTGGCCTTTAAGGGTGTTTTGAAGCCGAATTTTCAGGAACATTTAAACGGCGCTATTTGTGAGATGTTTCTTCTGCATTGCTCAATAGCTTCCATAGCTTTTTAGTGGTCTGTAGAGGTACACGGTTTTTTTTAAGCCTCTTGAGCATTTTAGTGCCATGCAGGGCGTCTTTAAAAACATTGCGAGACTTTAAGACTGTTTTTAAAGGCTTTTTTTAAGGGTACTTGCTATCCTAATTTGAAGGGAACTTTTGTAAAGGTATCTAAAGGATTTAAGGGCTATTAAAACTGTTTACTCGTATTTAGAAGGCATGTCTTGAGAATTTATGAGTTTGTGTAGGCCCGCCATTGGTTTTCCAAATCCGTTATGAACCGTAAACGGTATCCTAGAACTTTTAAAGTGTTTTAGAATTTTCAAGTTGCTTAATTTAAAACATTTAGCTATTTCGTCTTAGTCTACGTTAACAGATTGAAAGGCGAACATTGAAAGGCTTTTAAAGCTCCCTTTAGGACTCCCTAAGATAATTTAATTTAATAAAGTGTCGCCCACAGTATCGAAAAGCCTTCTTTGAGTCCTTTGATTCTGCTTGATCTTTTTGGCCCAATTGGTCTTTTTGATTTCTTTGATCCCTTTGATTTTTTTATCCCTTCGCTCGCCCCTGGTTGACCTCTTTGCTCGCCTTGAGCGAGGGTGGAGGGAGGGTGATAGCGAGTGAGAGAACGTGGATGAGATCATGGAAGAGAGCGAGGGCGCGACTTGTTTGTATGTATAAAAATTGGGTAAAAAATAATAAGATACTAAAATGCCCATGGAAGTCAAGTCAAGAAGATATTTAGCATCAGCAAACTTCTGGTAGATAAACATGGAAACAGCACTCATGATGGGAACAGATTTAGGGGGCCATGATTGCATGAGTCAGAACGAGGCATTTGATTTTTCAAGAGTCTAGGGATCCGTTTTTGTTGGTCAAAATCAAAATGATTAAGCAAAAGTAGGTAAGTGAATAAATATCATCTAACGGCTTTTGATGCTGATGGATGGATGCGTTGATAGGTATTGGAGTACTGCCGACCCTCCTCCCCCCCTCGAGGTTCCAAAACTTAGTTATAACCCCTAAGTTGCATCTCAAAGTTTCATTAACTGCTGACCTTTTTCCACCTAGTGAAACTACTTTTTGTTTGTAGATAAATTTATTAAAATCACACTCGTTCGATTTACAGCATATGCCCAAAAAAGTTTTTCATTAATATCAATATCAAGATCTTAAAAATCCACCTCCACTCCACCTTTAACCCGTTTCCATTCTGAAACACATATTAGGTATAGGGACAAAATACAACCGTGAAATCAAATTTCTGAGGTTGGCAGCCCAATATACATGTAACTGCTATCAAATTTAAATTTTTCTGCAAAGTTAGTGAACCCATTTAATTAGAATAAAAATTATAGAAGCTTCACTAAATTACAAAAAATACACACTTACAAAAAACATATATCTTGCTGGAAATTGAATGCTTTCAGGCACATGCTGTGGCAATTCAATATTTAGAATTGAAATTGCACAGTCTTACATGTAAGTCTACAGTATTTCGACTAAAAACTTTGTAAAGACACTTACAGGGACAATTAATTGCTTATTTGCTATACTAATTATTGCTACGCATGTAGGTACTGTCATATTAAAAGACGCTCTTAACTTATGGACAGCTTTTGACTAGAATTGTTACAAATGTGACTAGTATATATTACTAACAATCCAGGTTCTTACGCTCCAAGTCAAACGGACTGCCGAATTCTGGAATTGCTTTAAAATCTGGAAGTGATCAAGCTTTTATTTCATAAGGGAGTTCCAGAATTTCCAGTGTTGCCGCCGTCGTTATTGCTAGCACCTTCCGAGGTTAAATTGTGATGTTGCTGTAAAAACTTGGCGGCGGCGGGAAAACCGTCCAAATCAAAGCCGGGAGGAGGAACGATTCCGGCCGTTGCCGCCGTTCCCTGAAGATAAGCCACCAGACGTCTCAGTTCGTCTAAAGCGTTTGCTTGCATCAGTATGTAGTTTTTGGCCAATAACAGCGTTGCTATTTTTGACAATTTTCTCACAGATGGCGAATGCGCGTACGGAATAACGCTCCTCAATTCGTCTAACGCGTCGTTCAAATCGTGCATTCGTCTTCTCTCTCTGGCGTTGATGTTGAGCCGAACGGCCTTGCCCTGTCGACCCTTTCCCTTATTCTGCAGGGCGTTCTGCGCATGGGGAAGTGCACGAGATGGTTGGGATCTGAGCGGGCAAATGAAAAAATTTTTTTCCTCAGATAATAGACTCACCTGTTGCTACCTCCTGGTTCGGGACTATTCTCATCCGAAACCGGAACTGCTCCTAAGTTCGGGGAACACACGCCTTGAAAGTAGAATCCACCTAAACCTACAGTTCCTAGGGGCGTCCGTCTTCCAGGTACCGCACTCTCTTCATTTGAATTGTGCGAGAATGGGACAAATGGTTGCTCAACGTTGGCTGCCGTTGATGAACTGGGACCTTCGCTTGTTGGTGTACACTGAAATGTTTTATACAATTTTATATTTTATGTACTTTGTAGAAGTTTCAGAGGTTTTTTAGTGGCGACCAAATTTGAGCTATTTTTATAATATCTAAAAAATTGGGGTTAGATATCCCTTAATTTTTTTTGAATTTTTATCTGACCGAAAAGGTTCTGAGTGTGGCCCTGGCCAGTTCAATGCGTGTAAAAGTTTGGGGGCGCAATAAAGACATAGGAAGCAAGGCGTATTTGTTCAGATTTTGTATATTTTGCAGTCGCGATTGTCAAGCTAACTATAGGGTATGGGAACTGCCGAATTTGTGGGAATTTTCCGTCAATGCAAGTTTGAATGATCTGGTATTTTGGATTTCTGGGGATATGATTGGTTAAAAGAAATTAATACCATTGGTTGAACAGATTCAAATAGTCGGTGCGCGTAGTTTCAAAAACTTAAGGTGGTAGGAATGAAAGCCGTGGGGAATTACGCACGAAGCCGCGAGGGAACACGGTGTCAACCAAGACAGCGTGCGTGTCGACAATCAGAAAAAGTCTAAGTTAATCACCCGTGAGTTTTGCGCGGTGTGGTTTCATCGGTGGTCAAAAGAAATTAAGTTCAAGCAGCCGGATAATTAAATTCAAAACCAACAAAGGTATCTCCGTTGAAACGCAAGATAAAAATTCGGTAAACCGGGGAGCATTAAGTGTCGTCAGAGCGTTTACGTCGTACCGCGAAAAGTGATTTTAATAATCCTAGGGGTAGTTTTTGGATTGTGAAATGGTTTTGCTAAATACTTAGTACCAGAGATTTTTGTGTTGAATACGCGCAATCCGTGTTTTGTCTAATTACCATGCGAGGAAGAAATAAGTTACGTGTAACTACTCTAATTTCGAATTATTTCAAAGTTGTGGACTCTTAGTTAGATTCAAGGAATAAATTGCAAAGAGGAAATTAGTTGAATTACGGACAGTAGAGGTTTTAAAGTTATCGCGAAGACTTTGACCCTGAACTCGTAAGTGGACTAAAAATAAACTGCATAACGTCCACAGATACCTAACTTATTTTCAATGACATTTCCGTCTCCTGACGGGTTGCGTAATTTTTGGAATCTCCTGGAATTCCAAAAAAAACTAACCCGCATTCCTTTACCAGGTCCGGGAGTGTCTACCCTTTGTTTTTTTTGTTCGGCGACCTTTTTGGAGGCCAGCAGAATTCCTGCCGCTTCGGGGATTTTGCTGCAGTGAATTACTGTAAATAAGGTAATGACTATCCAATCAGTACCGCCTATTTTCAAGGGAGCTAAAAAAATTAACCCTTGTCAGTTGAATAGCAATAGGTAAATGAAATCCTAAAGAATATAGAAATTGTATATGTATTTTATGTGGGCAACCTTCTAAAATAAATTAAAATTTTACAGTTGAATTTTAAATTTAAATACTGAACACCTAAAAAATTGTGATAAATATGGGGCAGTTATTATTATTATTATTGTTAAGTAAGTTAAGTAAGATAAAGGAGTGGCCACTTAAGTAGGATATGTACAATTTTAAAAATACGGGATTTTGAGCTAAAAAATTTAAATTAGAAGGAATGTAATTGAAGACGGAGTATACCGAAAAGGTCATTACAATAAAGATTCGTAACATTGAGCTATCCGTTGGCATGTTTATGCAGAATTATGAGCTTGTAGCTGTTTAAAAAACCCTGTATATTTTCAACAAAAAATATAGCACATTAAATTCTCTTTTCAAAAATATAACACTGCGGGGATGATATTCAAGTGATTCAAAAACTTCGAAAAAATTTTAAAAATATTAAAAAAATGTTCAAATGATTTCGAAAAATACAAAAAAGTTTCAGAAATAGTTTTTTAAATTCTGTTCCTTTTTTGAGCATTTTTGAATCAATATTGAATTTTTTTAGTGTATTTTAGAAACGAAAATTTAATATGTTACAGTGCATTCCATTAAAAAAATGAGGTACAGTAACTTTTTTACTTCAGGCCGTATGTACTTACTTATTCTGAAAACGGCAGATTCTCAATAATAATTATAAGAAAACGTTTGTATAAAACATTTTTCTATATCTCTTTTAATTAAGAAAATATAGGTCCATTTTGAAATTGACCGTTTTTTAAAATTTTCTACCATATCTCTGAAGCGTACTAATATTCTCAAATTTTTAATTTTACCCTGGAAAGTATTATTACAGCATTGATTAAAATGAGAGCTTTTTCCCCCGAGGCGATGCTTGTTGCTCTCATGTTGGTTAAGAACTATCGTGTTGATCATCTATTTACTCGTGACATACGCAATTAATAGCTATGCTCGACACAGATTGAAGGCTTTCAAATCTACATAAAACCACTTACAGATGGATGCCACCCCCACGTGGTAGAGGCACTACCACGTAGCCATTGTGGTGCGTCAGCAATCCCACGCGAGATGGGGTGAATAGTTGGTTCGTCTCCTTCAGAGGAAGATTCGCATTCAAATGACTTCATCGTAATAAATTATTAAACCTCATTGGCACATTAATTTAGTCACATCAATAATACCACCATTACAAAATACAGCATTTACGTTTAAGAATGGAATGCTTGAAGACAAAATTATCACTTTCTTATTAGCTTAGTTAAATTACGTCAGTTCTTTATATATTAATTTGTTAATCACAGAAACGCTTGTGTAAGTATACGGAGAATCTCCGTGGTGGTTGACAGATGCGACCCTATGAAAAGCACTTTATTTGGGGTTGCAGCGCAGTGGCGTATCGAAATTCTTTTTGTTCTTGTATACCTAATATCTGTAGATGCAATATAGCAAAGCAAAGTTGTGTACGTAAATCTCCAATTACCAATAATGTAGCAATAAAACATCAGAAATGACACGTTTAATTGCATAATAAAGAACACTGACCTGGAGTTTTATTTAATACGGATAAAGAAATTGAACAGTGACAGGTATGTGTACCTACCAACAGTTTGTTACGCCGCTGATTAGGGGCGAGGTTGGGTTGCCACCCTCAATCCAGAAACAAAAGAGGAAGCTGTTGTCATGGCAATGCACCCTTTTGCTGTAATGTGCTGCCTCCATTAGAAAAAGGATGTAACTGTACTTCGAAAATCATATTATACACAACACTAAGAGATGGCAGCAGGTACTGCATAAAAATGATATTCAAAACTATTCTACTTTTATTTCATAAAAAATGATTAATGGCGCCTAGCTAGATGTGTCATTTTTAAACTTTTATAAACATTTACAATGGGATATGTTAAAGCAGTTTTGAAGTCGCACTCTTTCACGCGAATACAGAATGTGGAAAATATAGCCTATTTACTCTTTAGGATGAAATCATTTTTATGATTATGGACTTTTTTTTTATTTTTCCAATCCATACCGCAGATCAGTCGGTCGGATAGATTCGTAGATGAGCGAAATCGCATAAGTCAGAAACTGTTACATTTACCCACCTATTTTGTTAGTCAAAAGTAAAATGTCAAGACGAAAGAGCTCAAAATTCAAAGTGAGTTAATGACATTTGCGTTAAATTTTGAAACAAGCGGTGTGTCCTTTTGTGCATCCTGTCGATATGATAAGTTTGATTTGAAACAAGATGGTCGCAGAAGCGCTCAATAGTAGGCTCTGGTTACACCTATACCAATAATAAAATTCGTAACCCAATAGTACAATAATTTTTAATCAAAACAATTTATGTGAAAATTAAAAAAAAAAAGTATGTCAGAAGTGGGATTCGAACCCACGCCCACAGAGTGGACCAGAATGCTCAAACTTGCATAGCAAGCTAAGGATACCTTGAGTCTGGCGCCTTAGACCGCTCGGCCATCCTGACATGTTGAATGTTTTGTAGGTTTTTTCAGTATTTCAATAAAACAAGTTGATTTTGTAATTTAGAAACTAAAAAGTCATTATTTTTATTGATTAATCTAAATAACTTTATACTCCCATAAAATAATTGCCACCGCTTTATTATAGCTAAAAATTAGGACGTTTTGAGCAATGTACTTGTACTTAACGATAGATGGCGATGTATATTATCGGGCCGATTCAAATATAGTTACAAAATACAACTTTTACTTTAGTACTTTTATTTTAGTCCGAGTTTTCACAGTTAATAATAACGTTATTCTGCAGATAAATACTGATCGATTACTGATTAATTTCTTAGCATACGAGAAGAAACTGATTGAGGAGCTACAATTTGCAACTTCATCTAAAATAAATTAAATTAAGTTAATTTAGAGGCTGATTCAATACAACGTTTCATTTCGGAGAAATGATCATCAACCATCATTTTATTATATGGTCCGTAAAAAAGTACGTACTGCAATTTTTATTACTAATACGCGGATGTACGGCATACAGAAAAAAACAAAAGTTGAAAACTGTTGGTTCAACAGGCTGGTGCACACGCGCCTGGAAAATGAAAAATTTGTCCGATAGTTATTCGCACACGGTTAGCGGCTAGGGCGTTGTGTGCGGGTGCACCATCCTATTGAAACCAGCAGTTTTCAACTTTTGTTTTTTTTCTGTGTGCCGTACTCGTACATAGGTACATTGTTGTATTAGTAATAAAAAAATGCTAGTCAATACAGTAGGTATGTACTTTTTTTACGGGCCACATAATAGCATCGAATAGCAAAATAACAAAAAAACACAAAACAAGTATAAATTGTGTACAACTCTTGTGTAGATAAAGTTTGAAACGAGCCATGAAGGGTAAAACGTGTCCCCGTTCCCACGTGCACGTTTTACTTTAAAAAACAGCATCTCAGGAAATAATTTATGGGGGGGGGGCTTAGATTTGCTTATCTTAATATCCACCTGGCACACCTTGAAGGTATAGACTACCTATTACAACAAATTCCAGGACTCGTTCCCCCAAAAGTAGTTGAAAACCGCAGAACTTGGTCTGGACGGACAGACAGACAGGCAGGCGTACCTACAGGCGGACAAAACGCAAACAATCATTTTACTTCTTTTAAAGTGTAGACATTGCAATTTTGCATTTTCAACATATTCTGAAACTACATCTTTTAAGACACATGCCATTACAGGATTTAAAATGTGCATAGTGCGATTATATAACGAACTACTGTAACGGTAACTACTGTAGCGGCTCGTGTATAAGCAGGTGGAAGATCACGAATCACTATTATGCATATTCTATTAATTGTGCCAGTTGGCTCGTCCTGCAGACTCTAAATTAGTCATTTGCCCATAACCCGCTGGTAGTCTTTTTACGTGCTGGTACGACTACAAAGTAAGGTTAAGTAGGTATATGCTAACTCACAATACTTTCAAATGTTTAAAATGTGCACAGTGTGATTATTCAACATATCAACACTATGGCGTGAAACGGCAACTTACAAAACCACAAAGGATTTAAAATGTCTACACTATAATTGCATTACTTATATGGAAATTTGAGACAATGCCAATGTACCCATATAGACGAGGTTCGTCGGAAAAGGCGATACAACGTTCGTCGGGTATTGAATTGAATGTTGGTATGTCTGTCCGTCTTTTATGCTTTTCTAAACCGTTCATCAGATTGGGATGAAACTTTAGGGAATTGTTGGACGTATGCCCGTGAAAGTATCTGAAATTCCCACGGGAACGGAAACAGAAAAATCCGGATTTTCTGTTTTGCGGTCAAAAAGAGACTTGACATTTAGAAAGTAGGTTTGCTTGAAGGGTTAAGTTGTATTCCTAAAGAACTTGCTGAAGTTCTCACGGGAACGGGATTCGCGAAAAGGCGGGACTGTTAGTAATGAACAAATCATAATGACGCGTCGTGTTTGTTTGCCTTTACAATTCAATGGCATCACCAATTTTTCTGTAATGTCCGTTTTTCCAATTCCAAAAGCTAGAAATGTTAAATGTGATATGGATTCGTAATTTATTTCTCTACAAAAAACCTAAATACTCGTTACCTCTGAATTAATTCGGGGAGCTAATATTTGAACATTACGATTGGGGTATTGTAACCCTACGTTGCGTGGCGCAACCACCACCCTGTATAATGATCGATTCAGCTCGTCGTAGAATTTAGATAGATAGTTGTGCATATGTATAATGAATCTACAATGTTTCACCTTGAAACGAATAAATTCATTTACAATTTCGGTCTGTGTTTTGGAAAAATCTTCAATTATGTGGATTAGTAGGTATCTTTACTTGCGCGTATTTTTTGGATTAAAGATGCAATATACAGTGTGTGTCAAGTAAGAGGTGTGACGTACGGTATGTTATTCGCAATTATACGATAAACCATAAAAACAGGCGCAACAGTATAATCTATCTATCACATCTGAAACCGAATTTAAACACTGGGTTAGATCAAAATGATCGACATCTATATGTGTAATTAATTTTGTTCAAATTCCTCCGGAAGTTCTGACTTCGTCATATGATTACTGAAAATCTGTGGGATTGTAGCCTAACAACCGAATTAATCAATTCACAAAACAATTAAAAGTTTATTCGACCACGCCCATCAATGGCCAAATCCGGAATAATTATTTGTTAATTTGGAACTTATTAAAGCACATCCAATTACATATTTAATTGTACGCATAGCATCAACCGGAATGAAAAAGAGAATTAAAACCAATCACTAATTATTCGTGAATACAATTGACGTAAAATAAACTGTACGTAGTTAATAGGATTGCAAAATCCGCACGTGTCACCCTGTGCATCAGAAAGAAGATTCTACGTCACCTTTAACATGGTTTTTGTTCAATTCCGCTGCATAAGTAATTGAAACTCGTTCCTCATAACAACCTGAGCTTTCGCATGAGTGCAAGGTATTTGATAAATGAGAAATAAATTCACAACCACCTGGTTGCTATTATGTGATGGTGATGCTGAAAGTCCCTTAGCAACGCAAGATCAATATAACAATCAAACGCGGGGCAGACGACTACGCCCTTGTTCTTAAACATCTCTAATAATATTGAATATAAAGCGAAAATAAACTGTAATAGTGGAAAATTATGAGAGAAATACTTTCATCCCCTTCCGAGTACTTAAACCACAAGTATTATACATTTCAGTGCATGCGAATAATGCAACGTTAAAGGGATTTGAGGTGAACTCGTGCTTGTAAATTATGGGTTTTCCATAAAACATTCAATTTTACTGAAGTCTGTCAAAATTAATTTATTTTATTGGTAATTACATAAAAGATCTTTTGTGGTCTTGACTGGTTGATGAAATCACCCCTACCTTTGAGTAATTAACAATTTTGCAGGATTTCTCCAGGTTTAGTTACGAACACGCTGTAACGACACATACAAGCATAAAAAGTATTTATAGCGTTGTATCGAAATTAAAAAGAAAGTAATTATAAATTAACAAAGAGGAAAAAGAGGGACGGAATGCATTATTGAATAATAAGGGCAAAGAAGATGGATTGGGAAAATAAATTACAGGAAGGAGAGAGGAACATGGTGAATGAAAGGGATGGAGCGCAACATCCCTAGACGGTTTCTATGGTTACACTCCAGAATTGTGACGTCAACACACATACAGTCTATTCAGTCAACAGAGGCTGATCGTTACACTAACGTTATTTACTCTGACCGACTATTAAATGCAATTTTATGCATTTGCGCTACCATACGTAAACTTTAATTACGCTACTTCGAAGATGATGCTCCGAACATACGGCCAAAAATTTCACATAAAGTTATTTGTGG